TTTTTTTTTTTTGTGTGTCAATTGTGATCATTCCAATAAGAACCACAATTGCAGGCAGTCGCTTGCAATTATGTTTTCTTTTTGGGGGTTAAATTAAAATATCGTGATCATAAAAGGAAAAGGAGAAGAGTAAGAGTTTTTAACGGGCTATAAAAACGTTAATTATAAAGAAAATAAAGATTTTTTAGCTGATTCTCTAGGAATATATTTCCTTTTAGAAAAAAATTAATCGAAGCTTCTTCTTCTTTCGTTTCCTAGAAAAAAGCTTTGCAGTTGCATTTCTCATCAATGGCGTCTCACTGGATTCCTGAAGACGATTTCATTCTCAGAAATTCAATCGAGGTTTAATTTTTCACCCTGACAAAACCCTAATTTAGATTTTTTCCTTTTTCTTGTTTCCTTCACACCAAAAAAAAAAAAAAACGATTTCGATTCTTCTGGTTTTGTTTGTTGTCTGTTCACGTTCCTTTGCGAGTTGATGTTACAGAGTCTCGAACTGAAACCCTAATTAGTTTCTGTAATCTTTAAAGCTTATTGGCAATAGATTATTGAGATACGTGTTGCCCAAGTCATCCAACTCTATTAAAATTTTACTTATCAACCCTAACTTGATTGTTACTTCTTATCTAGAATGGAGTTTCTCTAGAGTCGTTAGCCAAAGGAGTGGTCAAATTCTCTCGAAAGTTCACGATTTCGGAACTAACAGATCGATGGCATTCACTTCTCTACAATCCTCAAGTCAAATCTTTATCTTCATCAATCGGATTCGAGCTCCAATACTCAGCTCAATTCCTTTCACAAAGTCAAAATCATGGTCATCACAACACAACACAAGTCAGGTCTCAGTACTACACGGCGCGTAAGAGGATGCGTTTGGAACAGCCTCCTAGTGATCATCTTGATTCGGTTGCAGTTCCTGTTGCTGTTGCTGAGGAAGAAGGGAGTGCGTTTAGAGATGTCGAGTGTTATGATTTCTTGGATGAGATTGATGAGTTTGACATTGACAATTTTCACAATTCTTTCCTTGACATTGATCTTGATCATGAGGATGCTGATGCTGATCGGATGGTGTATCAGTTGTTCGACCACAATGATGAACAGGTTCAAGACTGTAATGTTTTAGACACAACAAGAACAGAACATGTTTTGCTTCAACAAGATCCTCTGTTTCAACAGCCCAATACATCTTTCAATCAAACAACATCACACTCACATCACCAAGTAGAGACTTGGGATCCACATCCAGAAATGAAGAACGGTGTTATCATATGTGTTCTAAACACCGAATCTGATGAGATTCCAGATAACGATGATTTCAACCCGCTACTGTGGAATCCAAAAGCTCGAAACTCGGTTATGCCTTCATCACCATCATTGAGGAAGCATATGAGACCACCTCTGCTTCTAATCAGAGGATCATCATCATCACAAGCCAGAGGTAATGACATGATCCAAAGTTATGGTTTTGGAGATTCCGCTGTTACGACACAAGCAAGTTCTTCAACTGCATTCCAAGATAGCTTTACCGAGAATGCGACATCTAGTTTTACCGCAACAACTTCAGCATCTCTTCAACATTCTACAGAGAATGAAGTCTTTGGACAGACATTGAGTAGTGCAGAGATGGATATAAACGGTCCAATGTCAGAAGAACAAGAGGAGAATAATAACAAAATCAGTGATGAAGATTTACCTTCATATTCAGATGTTGAAGCTATGGTATGTAAAACCCTTACAAGTCTGAAAATTGTTATCTTTTCTTGGTTAGTTTTGCTGACACTGTTTTTATTCTTTTTTTTTAAACTAATATCAGATTCTTGATATGGACCTTGAACCGGTTGGTCAAGACCGGTACGATTTGGAAGGTAAATAAGCTAATCTCTCAAACTGTAATTGTTTGCTATTTTTTTTTTTTGTCTCTAATTTAACAAAGCTATACTAAAGATTGTGTTTGTATAGCTAGAAGATATCGAAACGAGGAAATGGTGCGAATGATAATGAGATTAGAGCAGAGTGCTGAGTCTTACATGAACCGCGACATTGCTTCTCATGGAGCTTTAGCTCTTCTGTATGGAAGTTCTAAGCATTACATTAATAAACCAGAGGTCACTAAATCTTCTCTTGAGATGCTTAACTAGAGTTAATTAATCGATTCGATTGAGTTAGAAAAGCTATTTGAATATTTTCAGGTGTTACTTGGAAGAGAAACTGGAGAATATGCAATAGATATCGACTTAGGAAAGTCCGAGTCTGGAACAACAGTCTCTCGAAAACAGGTGATTGCGTCATTCACATTTATCAAACATCTATTGATTTACTATACATTTTGGTGGATAAGTTTAAATGTGACTTTTATTGGATTTGAATGATACTAGGCTCTAATCAAGTTGAAGCAAGACGGGTCTTTTGAAATCAAGAATCTTGGGAAATATTCCATATGGATAAATGATGCAGAAATTGTAAAAGGAGAAGTTGTTAATCTCAAGAACAATTGCTTAATCCAGGTTAGTTCTTTTATCTTTTTTTCACTTCTGTTCAATGTTTTTTTTTTTGAAAAAACTTCTGTTTCAATGTTTGGATCAAGAAACCAAAAACTGATCAATTTTTTTTCATGTTTTTGGTTAATGTTTTCAGATACGAGAGTTGACATTCGTCTTCGAGATGAACAAGACTTGTGTCAAAAGATATTTAGATGGAATTGGCAAATGAGATCTCAAATATATATAGGACGTATAGTAGAGAGACTTAATGTTATAATAGTTGTATGATAATCAAAACTTTACACGTGATATTGGTGCAATCAAAGTTGCTATGGCTGATTAAAATTTGTGTTTCTTATTGTGAAATAGTCAATAAAAAGTGAAATGAAAAGGAGTTGAGAAATACAAAATTTCGAATCAATTCTCTGAGGTGTATTGATGCAAAGAATGGGCAGTGTAGTGGATTTGAGAGATGGTGATTGATTGGCCAATTTTTGTTTTTGAGGTAATATACAAAACATAGCTCTTTTTTTTATTTTTGAGAAATTTCAAAAAATATCAGTTTACAAAAATATCACATTTTAAAAATTTTTACAAAAATACCACTTTTTCAAAATTATTTTTTCTTTATATTATTTATGTTTGGGTTAATTATGTTCTATTAGGATTTAGTTTTGAGTGTTTAGGGGGTTTTAGGTGTCAAAACATTTTTTAGGGTTTAGAATTTTAAGATATAGGTTTTATAAATCTATAATTAGTAGCATTTTTGTAAATGGACACCCTTAAATGGCATTCTTGCAAATATGCACATAAAAGTGGCATTTTTGTAATTGTCCTTTTCTTTTGAGAAAATATATACAAAACATAGCTCTGATTTTAGATATTTGTATACTTCAAGTCCTATGATGATGTAAAGATATTTTCGGAAAAAGATGATAATGCTAGTTAAATGCCATTATAACTTGAAATCAAAACATGATTTAAAAAATAATACTCTAGACTCTATTGATCTTTTTTTTTTTAATTTGTTTGTTAAGTTCTTGTATTACAACAACATTTAAGAAAAAAAAATGGTTGTTTTTCAAAAATAGAAAAAAAATAGAACATTTGCAAAAATGCCACACATTGGTTCACTCTTTTCAATAATGTCACACACGCATACTTTCTTGCAAAAATGCCACCATTCATTAAACCAAAAGTCAAA